TTTTCGTTAATCTTTTTTAATTAATATCTCGATTATTATTGCGAATATTGCAAAACGATATAGGACTTTTATGTTCACATCAACCCATTCTACGTCCCCACAAAATGCGGAGGAGAGTATGAGACACACTGTATATTTACCTGTATATATGCCTGAAACCTTTCTTGATACAAGTCGTAGGAACGTAGAACGGAATAAATGGAACAGAAAAGTCAAATACTATTTTGCAAAATTCGCAATAATTTTCAAGGAATTAATTATTTTTTCTGAGCATATAAACTCTTGAGCCGGCGCGCAACTGATACGTGTGAATAGCGGCGCGCGATCATGATACAAATCGCGACTCGCTGCGTTTCTCCGCTCATAGTTACGATGTGTCTCGTAGCCATAGTTACCATAGTTACGAGATAACGTAGCTATGGACGGAAGGACGCAGCGAGTGGCGATTCGCATGTATCACGATCGCGCGCCGACCCAAGCCCTAATTTGCTGAGATAAAATAATTAATTACTCAAAAACTATTGCGAATTTCGCAAAATGGTACCTGACTTTTCTGTTCCGTTTAATCCGTTCTACTTTCCTACGAATTGTGTCAAGAAAGGTTTCGGACACCCTGTATATACAGGGTGTCCCGTATCACTTTTACAATCTCTCGTGAGGACGTAGAGCGTATTAAGATGAACACAAAAGTCCTATATCCATTTTGCGATATTCGCAATAATAGTCGAGATATTAATTAAAAAAGAATATAGTGAAAAAAGAATATAATGGTGAATGATAGTGCGCGATATGATGTAATTGCGCCGTCTACCGTTGTATACTTGTACATCAAACTAAACAAAAAAGTCCTTTACCATTTTGCAAATGACAACATAGATTTTTAGATATTAATCAAAGAAAATTGTTACATGATTATATACCATAATGCACAAATTGGCGCTGTCTACTGTTGAGTTCTTTACCATTTTGTAACTGATCCCATAGATTTTTAGATATTAATTAAAGAAAATTTGTGCTTTATGGTATATAATCATATATGTAAAAATTTTCTTTAATATTTAAAAATCTATGTTGTCATTTGCAAAATGATAGAGGACTTTTTTGTTCAGTTTGACTTAATGTATAAGTATACAACAGCAGACAGCGCCACTGTAGCTCATCTACCATATTGCGCGTGATCATTCCTCAATCTTTTTTAATTAATTTCTCGACTATTATTGCTAATATCGCAACGGCACAGGACTTTCTTGCTCACTATAATCCGTTCTACACGGAAAAAACGATATGCTTACTACATGCATAATTATGGTTGCTACACCCACAAAAAATAGTAATATTTGGGGCAGCTATGTCTATAGTTGTAACACTCATATTGATATGGTTGTGCTACTATAGTTGAGATCACAACACTGTATGGTTGGAGTAACCATAGAGAATTGAGGCCGCCCGCGTGTCACATAGTTGCCGGAGCTATACATAATTCACAGTTGCTTCTACATGGACTAGGTGCGACACAAATAAAAATAGCTAGGACATGAGTACGTATAAGGATCTGGGAACTATTGAAAAAATTCTGAAAAATATGAGATATAAGTGCCTCAACCACCCCAGATAATATAGAGAATTTAAGAAAAATTCAGTCGTATGTCACTAGTTTAGAGTTCATTTTTAAATGCAAACAGAATTCGTTTTCTGAAAAATAAATTTTTTTTCTTAAAATAATTTTATTTGCATCTGAAAATTAACTCAGAATAAGTGACATACAACTGAATATTTTTTAATTCCCTGTGCTCTCTAGGATGCTTGTAGTGAATATTTCTTCATTGTTCATGCAAAGGCTTTTTGTTGGCATTAAACGATAAGAACCCAGACAGCACAGAGAATTAAAAAAGAATTCAGTCGTATGTCACCAATTCTGAGTTCATTTTTAGATGCAAAAAGAATTCTTTTCACTGAACTGAACTCTGAAGAATTCTTTTTCCATTTGAAAATGAACTCAGAACTGATTACGTATGACTGAATTCTGTTTGAATTCTTTTCAAATTCTCTGCGCAATTTGAGAAATTTACAATAAAAATCAAAAGACTGAAACGTATTTTAGCATTGTTTTATTCATCATTGTTCATCATAAGAAAATTGTTTGAAAATAATTCGTCTGAGATCATATGTAAAACAATATTTTTACAAAATAAAAATATTTATAAATAGTGAAATACTGATAGAGAGACAAGAGCATTCCACTAAGATGAAATATCAATATAAAACATAACATAAGTATTAACATTATTTATATATTGGCACAATATAACATTCTTTGAGAACTTAAAATCACTAACTTTCTATCCATTGTAAAAAGAATAATAAATTTTTTACAAAACCTGAGAGACATTCTAAGACGTACTGCTGAATGAAAAATTGTAAGTTTTAAGTTAAATTTTGTGCTTCACAGTCGCAAAAAGTGACCCACTTC